TTTCGATTTAATTAATGCATTATTGTATAGGCTCTCGTATGGTAGTTGACTGTTTTGAATTGTGGTGCAGGGGAAGATTCTTGAGAGTCCCCTGGACTGCGAGGAGAACAAACCTATCTATTCTAAAGGAAACCAACCCTGAGTGCTCCCTGGAAGGACAGATCCTGAAGCGGAGGCTCCAGTACTTTGGCCATCTCATGAGAAGAGAAGACTCCTTGGAAAAGACCCTGATGTTGGGAAAGTGTGAAGGCAAGAGGAGAAGGGGATGACAGAGGACGAGATGGCTGGACAGGGTCATCAAAGCGACCAACATGAATTTGACCCAACTCCGGGAGACAGTGGAAGACAGGCGTGCCCTGGTCCAGGGGGCCACAAAGAGTCGGACAAAACTTAACGACTAAACAAACAAAAAATATTATAGGATGATTCCCACCGTGCTGTAGTGGACAGAATGACGGACTAGAACTCTGGAGAACAGGGTCCGAATCTCCCACTCGGCCAACGTAACTCACCGGGGAAGTGGAAAAACCATTCCTTCAACCTCCCATTTTAAAGCCCTATTAGGGTCGCTATAAGTCAGTTCGAATTTGACAGCACAGAACACACACACACATTACGGCATGAGATATTATGGACTATAACCCATTTCGGATGATGCAGGGGGCCAAGGTGGATGATCGCTCAAGCTGTATTATGTTTATTACTCTTTATAGGCAACTCCCTTTCTTTTGGGGGGACGACCCTTGCCACAAAGAGTGAGGTCCGCAGCTTGGGGGTACATCTGGACCCGGCGCTTACCATGGAAACCCAGGTGGCGTCCGTGGCCCGCTCTGCCTATTTCCATCTATGGCGGATTGCCCAGCTGCGACCCTATCTTGATGGGGAGGCCCTCACTACTCTAGTCCACGCGCTCGTAATCTCAAGATTAGACCATTGTAATGCACTCTACGTGGGGCTGCCTTTGAGGCTGACGCGGAAACTTCAGATGGTCCAGAATGCGGCAGCCAGGCTTCTTAGTGGGGTGAGAAAACACCAACATATCTCCCCCACTCTGGCTGCTTTGCATTGGTTGCCCGTCCGTTTCCTCATTGACTTCAACGTGTTAATGATTACATATAAAGCCCTAAATGGTTTGGGACCTCAATACCTGGCAGATCGTCTTCTCCCACCCAGATCTACCCGAATCACCTGAC